AGAAGTAAGGGAAGAGAGAGAAGTGGAGCTCCCACCCGCAGTCTGGTGCCAGTGCAGCTTCCCCGTGCCCAGATGGAGGGTCCGACCACGCGATGGCCGCACGGGGCTCCTTTGATTTGCTCTGCCCCCTGTGCCCACCCCCCAGGGGGGACTTGTGGCCCACTGGCCACTCTGGGGCTGCAGGAGAGTGAGGGGCAGAGCTCCTGGTGTGCTGGAGCCAGTGTGGGGCTGGGTTAGGGGCTCCAGGCTGTGGGATGGGGCAGTGCTCCCAGGCTGCTTTGGACTGACAGCAGCTCCAGGGCTGACCAAGGAGGCTCCAAGGGGAGGGAAATGGAAAAGGTAACACATCCCCTTTGGTACATTCCACCTGTCCCTTCCTCACCGACACGCACACTGGAGCTGTTCTGAGTCAAGAATTATCCCAATAATCCAGTGTCTCACAGGTTCTTTTATTCCATGAGGTTCCACGGTGTCACAGTGGTCCCTTATGCTCCATAGGCCCTGCCCTGTCACCATGGTCCCTCAATTCCAGAAGATTCCAATATATCCCAGTGGTCCTGAGGATTCCATGAGGTTCTGTGGTGTCCCAATTGCACAGTGATTCTATCAGGTCCAGAGTGTTCCAGCACTCCTTTGAATCCATGAGGCCCTGCAGTGTCACAATGGCCCTTGGTGCTGGGAGGTTGCCCAGGGTCACAATGGCCCCTTTGTCTCCACATGGCCCTGCAGGGTCACAGTGTCACAGTGTCACAATGTCACAGTGTCACAATGACCCCTTGATTCCAGGAGGTTCAGCACCTTCCCGGGACTCCTTTGGTTCTGTGACACCCTGGAGTGGCATCAAGGCCCCTGGATTCTGTGAGCTGCCCCAGTGTCCAAGGGCCTCTGTCTCCATAAGGCCTTGCACTGTGGCAATGGCCCTTGGATTCCAGGAGGATCCAAAGTTTCACAATGGCCCTGATACCAAAAGACAGCAGAAACAAACACCTCCACCCCAATTTGTAAGTGTTAAGAAGCAGGAATTGTTCTTTATTCAGCACTGGACGTTAGCAGGAAAGCTCCTCTAACAAAATGAGCCAAATGAGAGATGGACAGGGCTTCTTATTGCACACACTGGTTACATATTCATTAGATGTGCAGGTTTTCTTAATAAATATTCATTAGTTTGCTTCACACAGTCACCAGCCTGGAGGTCCTTCTTTGGTCCTTCCAGGCTTCCTCTGTTGCCTTGCCCTCAGTTCTTGAGCAGGCCCATCGTCATCCTGTTCCACCAAAGAAAACTGTTACGTTTGTTCTTCACCTTATCTGGGGAGAGAGAGCTTATTTACATCCTGTTAGTTTGAGTTACATCCCTGATCTCATTCTCCAGGACTTCTCTAAGATTACATTCTTCCATATTTGGGCACTCTTTGAGTCAGGTTTCTATTTTTCCCATCACCATCCCATGGCATGGGCAGAACATCCAGGAGATCAGGCCCAGCCAGCGTGGGGTTGGGAAAGGCAGGTCCTGCCTGACCAACCTGGTCTCCTTCTGTGACAAATGACCCAATCAGCAGCTGAGGGAAAGGCTGGGGATGTGTCTGTCCTGACTTCAGGAAAGCCTTTGACCCCATCTGCCACAGCATCTCCTGCACAAACTGGCTGCTCATGGCCTGGACGAGGGAACTGTTTGCTGGGGGAAAAACTGGCTGATGGCCCAGGGAGTGATGGGGGATGGAACGAAATCCAGGTGGGGCCGGTCACTAGTGGGGTTCCCAAGGGCTCAGGGTTGGGGCTGCTCCTGTTTAACATCATTATTGGTGATCTGGATGAGGGGATCGAGTGCCCCCTCAGGAAATTCGTGGATACCATGAAGTTGGGTGTGAGTGTGGATCTGCTGCAGGGCAGGAAGGCTCTGCAGAGGGATCTGGACAGGCTGCATCAGTCAGGCCAAGTGTCAGACCCTGCACTTGGGTCCCAACAACTCCCTGGAACGCTCCAGGCTGGGGGCAGAGGGGCTTGAGAGCTGCTCAGCAGGAAGGGACTTGGGGGTGCTGCTTGACAGTACCTGGATATGAGCCAGAGTGTGCCCAGGGGGGCAAAAAGGCCAAGGGCACTCTGGCCTTTCTGGAGAACAGGGTGGCCAGCAGGACCAGGGCAGTGATTGCCCCTCTGTGCTGGGCACTGGGGAGGTCCCACCTCGAGTGCTGTGTCCGTTTCTGGCCCCTGAGTGCAAAAAGGCCCTGGAGGGGCTGGAGCGTGTCCAGAGAAGGGAACACAGCTGGGGAAGGGCCTGGAAAACATGTCTGATGAGGAGCAGCTGAGGGAACTGGGGTTCTTTAGTCTGCAGAAGAGGAGGCTCAGAGTGCACCTCATCAATCTCTACAATGACCTGAAAGGAGGTTTTAGTGGGGAAGGCGGCGTCGGTCTCTTCTACAAAGCATTTAGTGACAGCAAGAGAGGAAATGGCCTTGAGTTGCCTTGGGTGAGGTTCAGATTTGATATTACAATATTCTTTTTTCATTGAGTGTGAAGGTATTGGAATAACATTCCTAGGAAGGTGGTGGAGTCTCTGAAAGTGTTCAGATGAAATCTGAATATTGCACTGTGGGATGCGGTTTAGGGGTGATTATGGTGGTACTGGTTGACAGTTGGACCAAAAGATCTTGAAAGTCTCTTCCAACATTAATAATTCTGTGATTCTGTGACCTGTCATCACAGTTTCCAGATTTGTGCTCTAACAAGATCTTTTTTCAGTTGGATCCCTCAGTGGGACCCATTAACACTACAAGAAACTTTACAGTTTGAATCTCACTTGGGTTTCTCAAGAGGTTCCTGCAACTCTCCTCAGGGTCTGATGTTCAGGGACTCATCCCCAAAGTCCCCGAGGGTGATGAAATGCCTGGGGCTGTTGCTGTGCTGCTGAGTTGGGCCGGGCTCCTGGCACAGAGGGACCTCCTGGCAACCAAGAACAGCTTCAAAGACACAGCTCTGCTGCTGAGCAGCTCCTCTGCACAGCCCAGCAGGGCTGAGGGCACTGCCTGCAGCACCCAGAGTACAGGAGAAAGGGCAGAGAGGTGAGAGGCAGCCTGGGCTGGGAGGGGACTGAGATCTCACCGAGGAGAAACCTTCCCAGGATTGGAATGAAGAATTCTCTGGCTTTAGGAAAGTTAAACTTCCCTTCTCACAGGGATCTCCTAAAGCTGCCACATCCCACAGCTTGTAGGATCTTTCAGAAGGCCTCTCCCAGTCCCTGCAGGGCAGAGGAAGTGGCCCTATGGCAGAGCAGGGCAGGAGCTGCAGGCAGCAAGGGCAGCCAGGAGAAGGGAGCAGGAGGTGAAAGGGATCCTGGGCTGGGAGGACAGGACAGAGCTGCTCAGGGGAGGAACCTTGGCAGCCCTTTGGCACGGGAAGGCTGTGGCTGCAGAGCAGTGCAGGGGAGTTGCTGCAAGTGGCTCTTGCAGCTGCAAATGCCAGCCCTGGCAGGAGCTGTCAGGATGGCTGTGCTGGATTTGCTGGTAGGCAGCAGGAGAAGCTGCTGCAGAGCAGGACTTGCTGCTGCCCCATCAGAGGCCCAGGGCAAGAAGGTTCCCTGTGCCAGAGCTGCCCCTGGGCCCTGGGGTGGGCATGGGCTCTGGCAGCACTGGCAGGGTGCTGAGCTGGGCACAGGGAGGGGCTGCTGGCAGGAACAGTTCCTCACACACATCCAGGCAGGCAGGGAGAGGCAGCTGCTGCCCCAAGTGCTGGCCAGGGGGATGTGGCCCCTCCCTGCCTGTGTCTGTGGCACAGAGCCCTTCCCTGAGCAGCTCCTGCCTGGGCTCCTTTGCCAGCCCAAGCAGAGCCTCTGCCCTCAGGCCCACGGGGGCTGGGCTGGGCATTGCCCTGCAGCAGCCAGAGCCCAGGCAAGGACAAGGCCCTCATTTCCATCTAGCTCTGCCTGTCCCTCCTCCCTTGGCAGCAGCACTGGGACATTTCCCTGCCATCCCCTGCTGCCTGGGCTGTCCTTCTTCTCACCCTTGGCTTTTCTGAGCCAGTGTGGGGTTTGGGGGGGCAGATTCCTGTGCAGACACAAACCCTTTGGGTGCTGCTGTGGGGATGTGTCTGTGGGAACAAAGTGCCCAAGTGCCCTCCAGGCAACTTCAGGATCTTCAGCTGTTTCCCTGGGTGTCCTGCAGGGCTGCAGGTGCCCTCCAGAAGGGCAGAACTCTGCCATAGTATCTCTGTGCTGCACAGGGTCCCCCTGGAGAAAACTCCTCAGTGCTAAATCCATTGAAATGCTCTGGGCAGCTGTACTTAGGAGCTGCAATGATCCCTCTGTGTGGCAGTCTGGGAGGAGAAAGACGAGATCCTAATCAGGCACTCTGAGGAAAGACAAGGATTCTGTCAATCTGTGTTTTAAAACCAGATTCCTCTGCTACAAGAAGTTCCTTGTTCCCTTTTTATAGGAATTCCTAAGGGTGATCCCCCTTCAACTCCAAGATGCCAGCCAGGGGCAGCTGTGAACAGGAAAGATGGCCAGCTCTTGTCTCTGCACCAAGAGACCATCCCTTTGCCTCTCAGGACTCACAAGATTTCACTTGGAGCACATTAGAGATGTCACAGATTTCAACCATCCAAACTCACTCCTGGCAGGAGAAACTGGAACAAAAAGTACCCAAATCCCCTCCCTCTGTTCTCGCTTGGGCAAACTGTGAACAGCAGTTCTGGAAACACTGGGATACATCACAAGTACATTTAATTGGAGGTCACCCGTGCTCCAAGTTGTCTCTCACTGCACAGCAAGAAGTATTCCTCAGGAGCCCATTCCAGGGTCCCTACTCTCAATGCCCCCTTCAGGCAGCAAACCTCAGAGCTCAGGGGAGAGGAATGCAGAGAGATCTTCCTGAAAAAAAGACCCTGAATGTTGAATTGCTGAGACATGCAATGTGTTTTACTGATTGAGTCTGACCTAATTCAGTTCTGCCTTTTTCTCCTCAACAGAAAACCAAACCCTGAGGCAGCAAATGCCCAACAGCAGCTCCATGGCCCAGTTCCTGCTGCTGGCATTGGCAGACAGGCGGGAGCTGCAGCTGCTGCACTTCTGGCTCTTCCTGGGCATCTCCCTGGCTGCCCTCCTGGGCAACGGCCTCATCCTCAGCGCTGTAGCCTGCGACCAGCACCTGCACACCCCCAGGGACTTCTTCCTGCTGCACCTCTCCCTCACAGACCTGGGCTGCATCTGCACCACTGTGCCCAAAGCCATGCACAACTCCCTCTGAAACACCACAACCATCTCCTACACAGGATGTGCTGCACAGGCCTGTTTCTTTGCCTTTTTCATCACATCAGAGTTTTCCCTCCTGACCATCATGTGCTACGACCGCTACATTGCCATCTGCAAACCCCTGCACTACGGGGCCCTCCTGGGCAGCAGAGCTTGTGCCCACATGGCAGCAGCTGCCTGGGCCTCTGGGTTTCTCAATGCTCTGCTGCACACAACCAATACATTTTCCCTGCCCCTGTGCCAGGGCAATGCCCTGGGCCAGTTCTTCTGTGAAATCCCACACATCCTCAAGCTCTCCTGCTCACACTCAGGCTACCTCAGGGAAATTGGGTTCCTTATATTAAGCTGTTCCTTAGGTTTTGGATGCTTTGTTTTCATTATTTTCTCCTATGTGCAGATCTTTAGGGCTGTGCTGAGGATCCCCTCTGATCAGGGACAGCACAAAGCCTTTTCCACGTGCCTCCCTCACCTGGCCGTGGTCTCCCTCTTTATCAGCACCGCATTCTTTGCCTACCTGAAGCCCCCCTCCATCTCCTCCCCATCCCTGGATCTTATTGTGTCAGTTATTTACTCAGTGGTTCCTTCAGCAGTGAACCCCCTTCATCTACAGCCTGAGGAACCAGGAGCTCAAGGATGCCCTGAGAAAAATGATAACTTGATGTTTTTCAGAAACAATAAACTCTCCTTCTTCTGCATGTTATGTACCTCATTAAAGGCCAATCCTCTTATGTAGTGCATTGGAGGCCCACCATATCTTGCACATTTTTTGCTTTTGGTAGGGGTATTATTTCTTGACAGTGTGTTTGCACCAAGAAATCTTTATATAAATAAATAAATAAATATATATAAAAAAAGTATATAAACTCTATTGTCAGTTTAGTGTTTGTCTTTCTAGCCTGGCCCAGAGGCTGTAAAAATTGGGATTTGTATTCACTGTGTGCTTAAACAAAATAAAGAACTCTGCACTGACTGGTTTCCCTGACATCTTTCCTCTCTGACTGCTCTGGAGCTGCAGGGTCGGTGCCTCTGTGCAGAGCTGGGCAACAAAAGAGTCCCAGCAGAGCAGCCCTGCCAGGGAGCAGCAGCCCTTCTCCTCCGTGGCCTCCTCCTCCTGCCCTTGCCCACTGTCCTGCAGAGCCTGTGTTGTTTGAGGCCTCAGTGCTCGGGCAGTGGGTGCCAGTCCTGCTGCAGGACTGGGCAGGGACTGCAGGCAGGGACAGCCACGGGCACTGCTGGCACAGAGCTGACCTCTGCAGCAGCACTGCCATCCTGCAGGGGCATCTCCTCAGGGCAGGGCCTGAGAGCTTCCATCTCCTCTGCAGTTTGCTCTGCAGGCTGTGCCCAACACGAGGCCCTGCAGAGGAAAACAGCATGAGCAGCACAAGTGTGGAGGGCTCAGGGTGGGGGCACCCAGCAGTGCCCTTGCACAGCCAGCGCCGCTCCCAGCACTGGCCTCTCAGCCCAGGGCAGGGAGGTTGTTCTTCCCTCCAAGGAGGGACAGAAATGACCAGCTCAGCAGTCCATGTGTGCCCTGCATGGAGAGGACATGCCCGTGTGTCACGGCTTGGGGGTGGGGGTGGAAGGCTTAGACAAAGTTTCTGGGAGAAGCCTCTTGTTGAGCTGTGAGGGGCAAAAAGGACCCTCTTGCTTTCCAAATTCCTGCTCAGAGTGGAGACTCTCCCAAAGTCTTTCAAAAGCCAGAGCCATCCCAGAGGCTCTTGGGGCCTCGGCAAAGGCAGACATGAACCAGTCTGCAAACAGGGCAGCAAGGAGGCTGGGCAGAGTTCCAGACTGCTCAGGCTCAGCAGGGAAGGACACATGGCAAGTCCTCCTGCAGCCATTGCCAGGCATGGGAAGGACAAGGCAGGGATTGCAGAACCCCTGTGGGAGGGAAAAGAAGGGGATATTGTGTGCCCAGACTTTGTCAAGTCCTTTACATGGTCTCTTGTAGTCTCCTTAGAGCCAGACTGGTGGGAGCTGGACTGAAGAGTGTCAAAAAAAATCCATGGTACAAAGTCCTCTTGGCAGCAACTTCCTGATGAAATGCCTCAGTTACCAGCCCTTGAACACCACTAGAGAACATCTTTATTATCTCTTTGTACAACGAGACTTAAAGGTGTTTTCAAGTCCTTTGTGGATGATGCCAAATTTCAGGGAACCCAGTGTCAGAGGTTCCCCAGTGTCACAATGGCCCCTTAGATCCAGGAGCTTCCATTACATCCCAGGGTTCCTGCAGTTTCTCTGAGGACCTGCAGTTTCAAAATGCCTGCTTGGATCCATCAGGTTCCAAAATTTTTCAGGGTTCCTCTCTGTTCACAAGGCCTCAAGTGTGTAATGGCCCCTTCATTCCACAAGATTTCACAGTGTCCCTGTGTTCCTTGGTTTCCATGAGGCCCTGCAGGTCACAATGGCCCCTTGATTCCATGAGGTTTTCCAGTGTAACAATGGCCTCCTGATTTCATGGGTTTTAGCAGTGTCAGAATGACCCCATTATTTCATAAGGTTGTCACTGTCCCTCAGTTTCTTTGGCTCCCTTAGGCCCTGGAATGTCACAATGGCCCCTTGATTTTATGAGGTTGCAGAGTGTCATCACAAAGCTTACCCCACACAGATGGAAGTTTTTGGGAGGTTCGGGGTAAGTGGGACAGGGTAGGACAGCCTGCAGCAGAGATGGCCAAGGGCTCTGGCAGGGTTGCAAGGCACCCAGGCCTTTGTGCCCTTGGCTCTGGCAGCTGCCTCTGCCCCTCAGGCCACCACAAGCAACTTTCCGGGAAGCTTCTGCCCTTGGGTTCTGCCTCGCCCCTCCCTGAGCAGCCTGGCAGGGCTTGCACAGTTTTGGGCCTTTCTTGTTGCTCCCCCTCCCATCCCTCTACCCTCAAACAGCCCTGAGCCCCCCGGCAGGGACAGGATCTGCTGGGCCAGGGCCTGGGGCTCAGCCTTGGCCTTTGTGCTCCCCAAAACCAAGGCAGGCTTTGCTCAGCATTGCAGGGGCCTGCCCAGAGCCTTTGTCTGCCTGCACTCCTGGCCTGCAAGGATCTGCTCGAAGGAGTCCCTGGGGAGGCTTTGTCAGTGCCTGCCCTCAGTGGGGCCCAGCAATGCTTCAAGGGACTTGGGCTTTGGCTTCTGACTTGTTAAGCAGCTTCATCAATCTTCTCTCACTACCTCAGGATGATGGACTAATCTCTAAACACACCATGGGACTCATTAACATACGGAAAAACAAATTGTTTTTCTTTTCTTTTTTTGAATTGTCTTCCTGTCTTCACGTCTTCAACAACTAATTGGAGTTGTTTTGTAGTTTAGTTAAGGAAGAAAATTTCAAAGAGTAGTTCCCAAAGAATAGCTATTTTTTTTATGAAAGGGAATGATTTACACAGAGCCTTGGGATGCAAGAAGATCAGGAGTGCAAAGGGTTTGAATCCAAAGAAAAGGAGGCAAAAGAGATTAGTAGCATTTAATCATTCACCAACTCAACAGTTATCAAGGGATTCAGTAGCATTTGCTACAATTGAACAGTGACTGAATTATAGATTCACAATAACAACACTCACACCAGAGTCAATTCCTACTGATGTCTCAAGCCTTTTTGGTTTGGTTTTTTTTTTGTTTGTTTGTTTGTTTTTGTTTTTTTTGTTCTTTTTTTTTTTTTTTACCTTTTGTAGATTTTAAAACTAGTTGTGTAGTGAATATATTTTAATGTAGCTGTATTATATCCCTTACCCTTAACAGAGTAGTTACACATACCCAACCCTACTACCCTATTCCATATCAATCCCTCTAAACTCCATTTTAAGTCTTCTTTTCAAGGTAGAATTGTAGAAAAACACCTTAAGAGGCCCATGGCAGACATGTTGGGCTGCATTCTTGGGGTGTGAGGCATTAGTTCTTTGGTGTCCAGGGGCCATTCTGGAACAGAGATGATTGGCTGTAAAATCACAACTAGGCCAATGGCAAAAAGGAAAGGTTGCAAGGTGGGGGTGTGGTGCATTGGTTCTTTGGTTTTCAGGTATCATTCTGGAATGGAGAGGATAGGCCATGACATCACAAAGGCAACCATGGAACACTTCTGGGGCTGCAGTGAGGGGGTGTGCACTGCAGTTCCACCCAGGAAAGAAAATCCTGAGCCTCTGTCTCTCCAGTGTCGATGCTGTGCCACTCTCGGCACTACACAAAGAAAAAGAGCTTTCTGTGCGGGCACCTTAAGACTGGGAGGTATCTTCATCCGTACTGAACACCAGACCTAAACTTAAAAAAAAATATAAACCTGAACCTATATGTTAAACCCTAAAGCCAAACTGTAACCATATGCCTTACTCTAACAAAAACTTATCTAAAACCTAATCCTAACCTAACCCTACCATTACCCAAAACCCTAAACCCTAACCCTTAACCATAACCCTAAACCCTAAACCTAAACCGAAATCTAAGTCCAACCCTAAACCCTAACCACCTAACCCTAACCCTAACCCTAACCCTAACCCCTAACCCTAACTAACCCTAACCCTAAACCCTAACCCTAACCCTAACCCTAACCCTAACCCTAACTCTAAACCTACCCTAACCCTAACCAAATAATCCTGTACCAAAAATGCCCCTCAAAAAAAAAAAAAAAAAAAGAAAACAGTCCGGTATTCCTCGCTTTTTGGCGCAATTCCAATCCCGGTCAGCAGGGGCCGCTGTTGGATCACCGGAGGGGCAGAGCCTGCAGGGGCTCCCTGACAAGGGCGATTTTCTCCCCACCCAGCGAGAAGGGCAAGAGAAAGGGGATGTTTCTGCATTATACAACCCTAACCCTAATCATAACCCTATCCCTTACTCTAACCAAAAAGTTACCTAAACCCTAACCTTAACCCTAAACCCTAATCCTAAACCCTAACCCCAACTCTAACCCTAAATCCTAACCCTAACCCTAACCCTATCCCTTAATCTAACTCAAACATTACCTAAAACCTAACCCTAACCGTTAACCCTAACCTTAAAACCTAAGCCTAAACGTAACCTTAAACCTAATCCTAAATCCTAATCCCCTAATCCAAACCCAAACCCAAACCCTAAACTCTAAACCCTAACCCTAACGCCTAACCCTAACCCTAAAATCTAAGCCTATGCCTAAGCCTAAACCTAAGCCTAAATCTTAACCCCTAACCCTAACCCTAATGAAAAGGACATTGGTGACATCACTGGGGACGAGTGTCATTACAGGGGATTGGTGAAAACAAAGGGACAGCTGTGATGTCACAAGGACTTTGGTGACATCACATGATACATCAGTGGCATCACAAGTACATGGTTGACATCAAAGAGACATCAGTGACATCATCGGGGATATTGGTGGCATAACAGGGGACATTGGTGACATCACAGGGACATGGGTGACATCATTGGGTACCAGTGACATCACAGGGGACATCAGTGATTTCACAAGGACAGGGGTGACATCACAGTGACACCAGTGATATCATCAAGGACAATGGTGACGTCACAGGGGACAGAGGTGACATCAAGGGGAAAGCGGTGACCACAGAGGACAGGTGACAACAAAGGAAAGCCCTGATGTCACAGGGAAATCATTGACATCAGAGGGACATGGAGCCACTGCTGAGGACAGTGGTGACATCACAGAGACAGCAGTGACATCCTTGGAAACCAGTGAGATAAA